CTTCAGTCCACATGCAAGGCTACAGAGCATGAGGCTTCTCCATTCACCTGAATGACAGAATTAGTCCGTGAAGAGCTGTGAGGAGGCAAATGAAGCAGAGGGAATGTGGCTGCAACTGGAATGGCATGACGGGTTTTAAACTTGGTGTTCAAACCAGCCTCAAGAGAATGCTTGAAATGGGCTTCTGCCCTACCACATCCCATGCCCTAAATGATATCCTTGAGATTATCCACTGTGGTGCATAGGCTAAGTGCTTGGGACTGGGACTGAGGCAATTTGGGTTCAGCCATAGAGCCTGTTCAGCCATAGAGCCAACTGGGTGACTTTAGGCCAGTCAGTCATGGACTCTCAGCCCAAACCACCTCACAGGGTTGTTGTGGGAATAAGATAGAGAGGAGGAGGAAGAGAATGATGTAAGCTGCTTTGAGTTCTTTAAAATAGAAAAAAAGGCAGGATGTACATCTAATCAATCAATCGATTGCCTGTCTTGGGTCTCTCCCCACCACTACCTTTATTTTTTTCTGCAGAGTTTTTGTACATAGGCCTATCACACAGTTACCCCAAAACTACCAATACCTCTTCTGTGCATTGGTGATGTGGTTTTGGCAACATGAGTTCAGGAAGATTCAAGCCAGTGTTAGAAGGAATTACATTTATATAGCTACAGACAGAGAGATCTTGGACCAACCTTTCAGGCTCCTTCCCCCCATGCTCATGCAACATTGTTTATTTCTGTAGAGCTTTTGATTGTATTTTTCTAACCTGGGTATTTTTTCTGCTATGCACCTACATAGCCCATTAAAGGTAATTGGCTGCCAAAAATGCTACCTCATTGCACTAATTCATTCCACAAATGGTATTTTTAAGAAGGCACTCTTGGTATGTATATCTCATTCACTTTAGAAGGTCTAAAGTGTGTACAATGGTCCTGTTTATCTAGCTATGTCTAAGGGCCAAACTAAAAATGTGGTTCAGGAGAATCATTAACAGAATCTCCTGTGGATTTTAAAATTGTTAATAGCAGCCACGGGGGCACAACTAGATCTTATACTTAATTTTTCATGCTGAGTCAGCAAATCCAATTAAGATCAGAAAACGGGCACTGGGGCAAAGGAATTTTAACTGAGTTCCCTCATGCTATTTTCCTGATTAAAATTGTACCCCTTCTCTTTCAATTGCTATTCATTTTGCCAGGCAAAATATGTGAGTATTTTTGTCCCAGGATCACTTCTCTGGCCTTGTATGCACTGGCAACATGCCCCCTCCCACCCTTGCAGTTTCCCCTGTGATCCCTTCCCCAGTTTGGAGAAATAAAATCAAGAATGCTCTCTTTTAGAGGCTTGTAGTCACTTCTTGTAAGCCATTTACGCTATGGAAGACTGATTTGTATTTAGAACGAGATTGGGAATCATAGCATGCACACAGATTAATTATGTGTTAGTTGCACCAAAAAAATGCTTCTCAGAGATCTGAGATCTTGCATTGTTCTGTGCAGCTGAGAGGCAGAGGCCTAACTCACGTAGTGCTTCCCATACAAGCTGGGGTATACTGGGAGTTGTAGTCCAACCTATCTGGAGGGCATGATGTTGGGGAAGGCTGCTGAAAGACTTTTTAGAAAAAGGTATGATGCTATATATGGTGAGATGCTAAAAAATCCTTTATTCTTCTCGGTTTGCCATTCTTCATACCCACCTGGCAACTTCTCTTTTTTCTTTTTTCCTGGAAAGCTAATTGTGAGACATATTATTATGCTGTTGCCTTCCAGAGCTTTTTCAATCCTGTGCCACTAGGGGAATTGGGGTGGGGAGGCAAATGATTCAGATTATTCAGTCAAATGTAACAGCCGTGTAAGGTGTTGTAAATTTGATTTCAAAGCACAATTAAAAAATGGAAATGAAAAAGAAAAAGAGGCACTTGGGTTTGATCTCAGACATTGTGTTGGAGGAGCTGCCCTCTTAGGGACATTCTGCTGAAGGCCTCCAGTGCCACTGGCTCTTCCCTGGAGACAATGGGAACTATGCTCCAGAGCACTGGGATGTGTTTGCCGAGGTGTACATGGTACAGTGACTCACACCCAGTCCTTTTTCTGCCTTAGCAGAAATGCTCAGCAGAATGCGCCCACTTCCAAACAGTGAGAAGTGAGCCCCATATTCAGTATGCTATAGTTTTGTTGTCTGGAGGTTAAGCAGGAATGAGAGGGCTCTGGCTGGCAGTTGCCTTTCCCCGCCACATAATTGCCTCAAACCAAATGCTGTAATGTTCCAGGAATGCCAATTCTCTGGCCAGTTTACACAGTGAATGGCTCTGAACAGAGACTAAATGGGTCACTACAAGAGATGGTGTGGTGCACAGGAATCTGCCTTATCCCAAATCAGACCACAGACTGGCAGCAGCCCTTTAGCATTTCAACAGGAAAATTTTCCAGTTTTACTTGGTGATAGTGGAGACTGAAGCCAGGACTTCCTGCTTGCAGAAGCAGCCATGGCCGCTCCCTCCACTTCAGTGCCAGAGCTGAATCCTGACCCTTTTTGCAACCAGAGGGTCCTAGCTTCAGTCCTCAGCATCTCAGCACATACAGAGTTCAAGAAGCCTGTGACATGTAGACACACCAATCTGTACAATTTTGAATTCAATACTGGAAAATTAACTTCCTTTCATTTTTCAGTAGAATGAAGGAAATAATGTATCTCAGTCTCATTAAAGGACAGAAAAGAGGCCTACAACTCCCAGCTTTCCCGAGTTGGGGAGAGGGGCGGTCTGATCATGCATAGGATTGTACTCCAGCAGAGTTGGCTGCTGTTTGGTTACTATTTTTCAGACATGTAGTATATAAGCTCCTGAATTTAGTCAGATGCACATGACCAGAGCACATAGCATTACCCCATTGTTTTTGTTCTCAGTATCTTGAAGCTGAGCAGGCACAAAACAGATATTCACCCGTAGCTAGCAGTAATCCCTGGCATGCAAAATTTATCAGTGCAGCATTGCTGCACTGATTTCCTTTTGAGAAAGCAGTAGAGAAAGCAAGTAGTAAAAAGAAAATAAATGGCATACAAGTTTGTTTTCCGTAGTTCCATTTCATCTTCATTTTCTTCTCTGTCAGTTCATTTGACAACATTGTGTAGTGACTGCAGCAGTAGTTAATCGGCTCCTTAGTTTTGAAGTGTACGATAATCGAATTAAGTATTATCCAACTAAGCATTTTTTTCCATGATAGGAGCGACACTTTTCACAGCACACACTCATTTTAGATCTTATAACCTGGAAACAAAATTTAATTTGCGCACAGTTTCGAGCAAAGCTAGAAGTAACTTTTATCAGGTCATTTGGGATTGTATCACTGGGGAAGGGCCAAGCCATGGATGCTACTGCAAGCCTGCCAAATAATGTTCACCCTCCTGATTGAAACTGAACTTGTTGTTAAGCCTATTTGACACTAATGCAGATCGTGTTGCACTAGGATCTACCATCTCTGGTGCAAAGCTAGCAGCATTTGCTTAGCACAACTGGTTTTCTGGGGAAACACGTTACAGCAACGGCGGCTGTTCATCTGGGGCTAGAACTTTGCTTACATTGGCACAGTGTAATTTAAATTTGTGGTAGTGCCAGATAGGTTACTGCCTATTATTATAAATATTCAGTAGCAACAACAGGATTGGAAAGCTGCACCAATTTTCTTTAAAACCCTTTATTAGAAATGAAGAGGTCCCTCACATTGATCTGAGAGCATGACAGAGGAGAGGAAGGTGAAACCTTACCATGGAAAGAGAGATTTCCTTGCAAGGTACTGAGAGTGGTCCAAGCGTAGCACCAGGTTGGCTACTGTGGACACACAAAGCATTAGGGATGTTATTAAGGGATCCAGTGCTTTTAATTAAGCGTTTCCACCCTATTGGTTCAGCCCATTTGCGCTAGCCATTCTTAATAGCCTCAAAGTAAAATTTTACTTCAATGGGGTGCACCTTTATTATTGGTTCCTGTTTATTTATTTTTTCTTTTCAATTGTTATAGAGGAATAATGGGAGGAAAAAATCACACCCACATCTACCACACAGGAATGGAAAATGACACTGGGAAAATTAAGACAGGCTTTTCAAGGGATGATTAATTGGCTGCCGATAATTACTCCTTGACTTCTGTTCATCAAAAGCAATAAATGGCCTGATCCTACCAGGAGCAAACGTGTAATTAACATAGCTCAGAAACAATGATGAACAGGACTTACTTGTGGCTTAGCATGACAGAAAAGTGAATTGCTGGATAATTTAGTACTATATTTTTGTGTGGAACCTGTTTTAGTTCCTCTTCCAGTTTATTCTGGGAAAACAATGCTTCAGCAGTGCTAAAAAGCTCTAAGTAAGAAAGCAATTTCTGTTGGGACCTAGGGGAATGGTGATGCCTTGGGTATGTTTGCCCCAAACCATGAATAGCATTAGAAATCAAAGTGAGGATGACACAAGAATGGAAATCTAAAGTCCAGAAAACTCATGGAGTCTTGTGACTGCGGTGAGACAGTGCAAAAACATCCAGCACCTCTCACTTGGCTGGGCCCTTGGCCATATTGAAGAAGAGGCCGTGCAAACAGAGCTGACTGAAATTCACATAGGAAGAAGGATCCTGGAGCTGGGAAGAGGCAAGATAATTCTGCCCATGTGCGGTATGCATGCCCATTGAAGCCTCATCAATATTTGAGTCTTAGAAGCTTGTGAAGGACACATGAGGCTTTTTGTTTGGATTTGTTTCCTTTCATGACCAGGGCTAAGCAGGTTAAAGGATTTCTTTAAAATTAAAATGATGACTTTATCTAAAACTTTAAGAATATATGTAAGAGATAAATCAAATTGGAAAGCCCAGTTCTGCAGTTCAATTCATTGTGCAATGTACAACACGAAGAAAATCTGAGCCACACGGATATCCAGAAACAAATAGAGGGGGAAAGAGTAGCAAATAAGCCAAAACAATGGAAAAAGGGACTCTGAAATAATCTCTAGTACCTTTACCTGCAGGGGGTTCTTTGTGCTTATGGCAATGACATGGTACTTGTAATAACACAGCTCACAGCTCCAGCATCCCCTCTCACTGATCCATTTGATCAGGCAAGGTTGGTGTGTACATTTCACTGACCCATCACACCGACATGGACTCAGCAACTCACCCTGGAAAAAGAAACAAAGAAAGAAAGAATCAAAAATGTGTGTGCATGTGTTTGTTTTTGCTGCAGTCCAAAGAAGATGATGGAACTGCATTTTCTCCAAGGGTTGAAATAGACAACTGCTTTCTATATGGGCCCACTTTGAAATGTTCCATCTGAGCACTCTAACCACATGGAAATGTAATCATCAGGCTGAGTATCATCAAGCCCTTGTTTTTCCGACCACTGAGGAAACGTTGCAATGATTCGTTGTCCTAATGGCCAGAGCCCACAGAAAATCACCTTTTCATATGATTAGAAGAACCACCATAGATAGATTTGTAAAATGCAACAGTGTGATACATTTTTGCCTCTTTCCATCTATTACCTATGAAGGAGATTATCTGTGTTGAAGATATTAATGACTGCATCTGATCACAGGTACGGGATGGACTGGCTAACCCATGCAATCTAGACCACAGGGTGTGGCACAACTGGAAATGGGCACAGGCACCAGCAAAGGAAATCACATCAGATAATTCAAACAAGTGAGTCAAGCTACATTCTACTCTTCATCTTCAGTCACTAGACAGTGTATTCTGGGAAAATATCTTCCAGGCTTCATATCTGGACTCGGAATGCTAACTTGATAAGACCTCCCAAGGGATAATTTACTAAGGTGAAACTCTATGCTGATGAATTCTCCAAGATGATTTTTTAATTTATTTATGCTCTGCCTTCCCAAATTTGCTCAAGGCTGCTCACAATCACAAGGAATATCTCATAAATTCAAAACTAACTTTACAAAACTAACTTTAAAAGGCAGCAGGACAATTTTGGTGAGAACCTTCTTCTTGTCCTTGAAAATGAATAGACACATACTGGGAACTGCATGAAAAAGGTGGAGATCTGAAAAAGTTTCTGAAAAAGACTGTTCAGTGGGCTAGCACAAAGCAAACATGTTTTAGTAATGAAGACAACCTCATTGCCTTAGCAGGACTTTAATTTTGTGAACTGTCAGAAGAAGTTTCATTATTGGATGGTCAACACATGCAATTAATTAATTAAATAGTAGATGAAACCTAGAGCAGAGCCTTAAGAGACATTCTTCAGAGGAAGATGAACTTGTCCAGGGAGCAATGCCCTCTGAGATGGTGACTGCCCCTCCAGTAGGTCCTCCATAAAGTTCTTCCTCAAGATCTCCTATCCGATCCCTGATGTTCATCAGGTTCTGCATGGCCTGCATAGTGCTGCCCCTCCTGCCAGTGGCCTGAGGCAGAAAACAACCTGCTTTGTTATGTGAGTGTTTGCAGGGTCACCTCCAGATCTTGACAGCTTTGGGCTTACCCTCAGTTCAATCAGGCAGGGCAGATGAGAATCACAGGAAGCTCTATAAAAAGGCTTCCCTTTCTTGCAGTTTTCTATACCAACATTAGTCTTCATGGGAGCTGTACTGTGGTCCTGACTCAGTTTTTGTCTCCAGTGCTGCAGCATCTTCACTCATTTGGACTCTCACCTGTGCCTGACTCTGCCTTTGTCTCACCAGTGTCCAATCCTTGCCTTGGTTCTTCTGCTATTTCCATTGGCCTGGCCCAGGTACTTTGGTTGAGGATGCTTGTTGCTTACATTCCAGAGCTAACAAGGTGGGCACTAAGGTAAAAGCAGCACCTGAACAGAAAGCCAGCCAGAGCTGTTTGGCATTCAAGTCAGATCTTCATCAAGAAATACTATTAATATTCATTGCATTGTTACAAGTTGCAACTGGCTATAATGAGAAAATGTGAATGCTGCCATTACTTGTCATACAAACTCAACAGCTCAGGGCCAGGTGGTTTCATCATCTGATAGTATACCTAGCAATTTGGGTAGCAAAAGAATCAGGGAATAAAGATAGCTGGGCTAAATTTGCTTGCTTTGATGCTCCTCACTCTCACTGTAGGGATACAGTAATGAAATGAATCAAGATGGGAAGAGAACATCTGTATAATGGAAAATGGTTTTTAAAGCTGTAGCTTTTTATACTTTAAAATAGCTGCTATGAGGTGAAGTGGGAAGGACAATCAGAACCTTATTCAGTGTCCGCCCAACTGGAATACAGAGTATGGACTTAGAAGTTTTGTTAAGGAATCATCCTTGATCTTCCCAGCATCAAGGCCAATCCTTCCAATCCTGCACAGCACAACTTTGTGTGATTAGCCTATTTACTTCAGTGGAAGGATGAGAAGCCCTCATCTGGATCAGGACAATGGGGCTGTGGAAGGGGATGCTTAAGCTTCCCTTGTTTTTATTCTGAAATCCTGCCCCCTTGCATAAAGCTTCAGTTCCCTACTGAGACATTTAGGGCATAGACTGTCCTCATAGGAGACAGTGGTCACATGTACACCTCACTGGGAGGTCTCCAAGAGGGCTTCTGACTATACATGTGACCCTACTTTGCCTGACATGAGTTGAGTTTATGTACCTTGAATGGATTTTACCTCCATGAGCTGACCTTGCACACTATGGCCAGGCTTTGCATATTGCCAGAACCATGCACTGTCTTCAGGCTCCTTTGATAAACATCCATCAGATGTTCTTGAGAAAGAGCTCACTCCTGCTAGGACAACTGATGCCCTTGATGTCTCATCAGGAAGCTGAAACCCTTTGTAGGTAAGTAGAGTTTCAGAATGAAAATAGGGAAAGGTAAAATCTCCCCTCCCAGAGTCAAGGTACTTGTTTGAACCAAGAACTCTTTCCTGGACTCCTTGCACTTGACCTAAACTCCCCTATTAAACAGGCTCCCCTATCAAAAAGCTCTTTGTAAGATGAATGAAGCACAAATTCTGGAGGGACTAAAACTGAAAACTGAACCAGAGATTCAGAAAATGCCAGTAACTTTGCCCATAAATGAAATAACTCTTGAGCTCTCTAATTTATTTGTGTTATAGCTGCACTATCTACAAGCAGTGTGCAGCTTTCTGGCTCATTCTAAATACTATGAAGGAGAAGTAGCATCAGACACAGTGCTGGTGCAAGCCCTCCCATGACCTGAGACTGGGAAGGACACACGCAACACTGCTGCTACAGAACCTAGTGCCATTACCTGCTCTCTAGGCCACCCTGATGACCCTCTCAAGCAGTTACCTGAGGCATCTGTCCCACAATGAGGAATGGCCCACTCACAGCCAGGCACTCATAGCTGGCTGGAAGTCCTGCCAACACATTCTGCAGAGAGCTTACTTGTCCTCTGGCTTGTGCTGAGAGGTCCTGCTCAGAGAGCCCCCTGCCCACCCTCAATCTCATCTGGGCAGGTCCTCAGAGGAAAGGAGAGGGCAGGCTGCTGTGCCAGAGAGCTTCACTGCCTACTCTCTTGCAGGAGAGGTGGCCCTGAATACAAATCTGACAATTTAATCTAAGATTGTGAGAAGTGATTACCACATCACAACCAAGATCTGCAGTGTGACTTTCCGGATTCCTTAGATTACTAAATAATTAGCAGAAATATCCTGGACTGGTGTCTTAATTCTTACTGAGACTCCCAGATTCTCCTGCACTAAGTAGGGTGACCAGGTACGCATTACCAAAAAGAGGACAAAAGAAAGCCCCTTAGAACAATACTTTAAAAAACCTTATTTCTGGAGTCTATGCAATAAAGAGAGATGTTTGTTTGGTTTCAATTTATATGTAGTCAAAGAAGGCTTTTAGACTGTCCAAGTGCTCATTCATTTCGCTAATAGAGAATCTTACAGCATTTAAGGACTAACAAATCTGTCGTGCCCTTAATGAGTCACACAACTTTATCATATGAATGAAGTTATATCCTTCCTTTGTGTGTATGTCTCTTATTCTGTGCATAGAAATACACATACACACAGAGAAAGAAGAAAAGGGTAGGGAAGGTTTTATAAAGGTTGGTTCCTTTGTAGTGTGATTTCTGTGAAGAAAATTCCTGGATATTATTCCTAAAGCTCTGACAAGAGGATGTGATGGACAGGTGGTACTCAAGAAGACATTTTTTTCCTTGTCCTTTGTAGGGAAAAAAATAACAGAGCCTTGAGCTAGGAATGAAATATATATAGAGAGTAACTTTAATGGTCTTCTCAATGCACGTGTCTCCACACTGAGAGTATAATGAATGGGAAGCATTAAAGTGGAAAAAAAATCACTAGGCATTTTCTACATTAAAATATAATGATATAGGACCTAATAACATTACTCTGCTGCTGGTAAAACCTCAGTAACCATGTATTAGTAATCTATCATCACTGAAGGTGTTTAGCCCTAACTGCCCTTTCGTCCTGTTTGATCTGAGGACTTCTTAAAATAGGCACAAAGTGCAGAGTGAGTGGTTGGAAGGGGCAGGGTGGCCAGGAACTGTCTCACCAGCAACAGAAGGGTGATCTAATTACTGTGTCCATGGGTGTACTTGGGGCAGGACTTTGGGGCACAATCAGAATGATAAGCAGCGCCTCCAAATGCAGGAGGGCAAGCTTACCAAGCGAGTAATATTCATTACCACTAAGGAAAGGCCTTCCTCAAAAGACTCTCCAGAGACAAACATCTAACAGCAACCACTGATTGTATGCTCCAGAAGCAAACCATCCAGATATTAATCATTCCTCCCAAAGGTCTCCCATGAAGTAAATAACATTCGTGTAAGGCTTTCGCATGCCCATCTACCCACCAGCAAATGGCGTTGCAAAACTCTAAACCAGTTATTGCTTCTGAAATTGTATTCTTCTGGGGAAGCTCTAAGGAGGGTGATTGTCTTGCTTTGCTTCCACATGTTTAAAAAAACATTTAGGGGACATATCATGATTAGCCTGCAATTCAAGATTCACGTTCATTATCTTGAATTTGAAAACTGTTTATTTTAGTTTTGCTTTTCATTAGATTAAGAAATTTTAAATGGTATAGTGCACATTGATAGCGTGTATTACATCAGGGGCTTTAGCAATTTGTCATAGACCTAAAGAGTAGGCGTGAACTGTTCTTAACTTTTATATGAGAAACTGCTGGAATCTTGCACCACAGCAACTTTTCTTT